GCTGCTTCCTGCCTGGGAGAATCCTGGGGGAATCAGTCAAGGCCAGCTAATACCTCCCAACAAAGAATTCCCCCAGGCAGGAAGATAATCAAGGTTGACAATTGCAACATACAGCCTCAAACAGATAAGAGTTCATTCTCCCACCCTATACACTCCACAGATAGATAGATAGATAGATAGATAGATAGATAGATAGATAGATAGATGATAGATAGATAGATAGATAGATAGATAGACAGACAGACACACACACACCTCACTTCCCTAGTTTCCAACAGACCTCACAACCTCTGAGGACGCTTGTCATAGATGGGTGTGAAACGTCAAGAGAGAATGCTTCTGGAACATGGCCATACCAGCCTGGAAAACTCACAGCAACCCATTTATTCTGGACATGAAAGCCTTCAGCAACTGTTTCCTTGGTTGTTTTTTTAAAAATTACAAGCATCTCTAGTAGGCTATCAGTATACATATACATGGGCAAGAGTTGTTTTATCTCCCTGTATGTATTTTTCTTTTTAAAATTACTGATATCTGGTTTAATACCCATGGTCTTATAGAAAATGAGTACATAAAAAGTAATGGAATGTCCATAAAAAGAAATAAATTGTGGAAGAAATATTGATCAGATAGCTATCACCACTTAAAGTTACTACATCCATATCCTCCTTTCAGGTGGATTTTATTATTATTTTTAAAATGGCAGTGATCACACACCTGCCATGTAATGTTTAGTCTGACCTTGAGTTTATCGACCCAGGTCTTGATTGCTTTGGTGATCACTAGACAAGGACACACCTACTTCTTACTATCATATCCTTTTGGTTCAAGCTCTGTTTTTACATTCTGCCTTATACACACATAAACACACACACATTTTATATACATGTGAGAGGAAAGGAGTCCTGAAAATGATTTTTTACAGTTCACTTTGTTAATTTAATGAAACAGACTCTATTCTTTGACAACATGTTCCACAAATAATTCGTTTCAAGGTCTGAAAGATATCTTCAGGCTGGGTTGCTCTTGTTTGGTTTTCTATTTTGCTACAGCAAAGTTGGAAAAAGTTAATCAGAAGTAACTTCAGATCAGTTCATACTCCTGAAATAGTAAGAACTCTCACCAAAGCACAACCCTATCCTTGGCATTAGTCTTCACTACTTACAACAGCAACTTCTTGAAAGCTGATATGTTTTGTCCAAAACAGAAGAAAGAATGACATAGAAAATATCACTTTGCTATTTTTTAGGTGAGAGAAATGAAGGTAGTGTTTTTTCAGTCAATCTAAGCAAGGCTGAGCCAAACTCCTACAGAGTCCAGAGTAAAGATGTGTGTTGGCATATGAGGATTTATCTGGAAGTGGATGGATAGTCCAGTTTTGTATCTAACTGTCATTCAAAATGGGGAGGAATAAACAAAAGAGAAAGCTATCAATGTAAACTAGGGCACACACTCACTAGATGTGTCTATATAACTTTAAAGTGTTGAGTAAATCCTAACAACAAGGGTCTCAGACAATTCACAAAGGGTACTTCGTTCAACTGTTACATGTGGGAAAGTGCTGTACATCCGCAAAACAAAATCCCGAATGCCTGTCTTTTCAATGGGAAGTATCTCATGAAACTACAGTTACAATTTCCATCTTCCATCAAACTCATTCTGACAGCACAGAAGACGACGCTTTCTTGAAATCAGCACTACAGCAACTACACATTTTCCTTAATAAAGGTTGTATACGATATGTCCTCTCTCTCCCTTCTCAATCTCTCCATCTCTCTCTTGGTGTCCCTTGCTCCCCAATATCAAAATTATGACTCCCTGCAAACTGCTTTGAAGTTGAGCACAATTGCCAGTTTGAAGCGTGCTCCTATATTTATATTCCAACCCTCCCTCCATTATGTGTTTTTGATGTGAGCAATTCTGACATCTATCGAGACACAAAGCGCTGTTTACAAGAACTGAAAATAGTCCATGCTCTTTGTCTGGCACTTCAAATGCCTCTGTAAAGCAGACACCGGCAATCCACACACAATGTGGAGGAGCTGTAATGGCTAGTGGTTCTCTCAAAGAGAGCCGCACGCGCACATCAAGCTACACAGAGCTTGCCCACAATGCAAAATCATCCAGAGAGAGAGAGAGAGAGAGAGAGCGCTTCACACTGACTCTGAGGAGTACGCACACATCTATCTCCAGGCCCTGCCTGCACTTCAGCCCTTCCTCGCTAATAGCTTTAGACAAGTCTCATTTCCAAGGTCTGATGGAAGGGTTTTCAAATGCTGGGCACCATTGCACAAAAACTCCTTGTATTTATCTTGTTTGGATTTGCAGGGCTGTCATTCAGCTCTTGGAGCAAATCTTACTTGGTTGCACAAATGGCCAGGGGAGGGGAGAACCCTTGTGCAACCTGAGGGCAATCACATTTACACATGGCCACAAGGCAGAAAGCAAAGCTCAGCTTTTCTCTTCCTTGTGTGTGTGTGTGTGAGAGAGAGAGAGAGCGAGACAGACAGAGAGAGAGAGATGGCACATGTCTCTCCCTCTCTCGGTTTGGTTTCAAAAAGATGCTTCTATACTGCTACCCATGCTCCAAAGGACTCAGAATGCAATGCATTTTTACTCACTCTTAACACCTCTTTTCCTTTACCATTGCTGAGCTCTCCTTCCAKATTCTATTCCAGCAAGGTGTAGTCTTTTTTGGTGGATCCCACCAAGGCTCCATTAAACTCCTCCAGAGTATATGTTTGATGCCATATGAAGATTTATGTCATATGAAGTGGGGGGGGGGGGGGTGGTGGTGGAGGGATAGTCCAGTTTTGAACTGCCATTCAAAAGAAGGAGCCTCTCCAGTTTTAAAAAGAGGATGGCTGCTTCCTATGGAAGTATTTTGGCAAAACTGAATCCCAACCCTCATTTCTATGCAGCTGAAACTTGTACAATAACATGGAGGTGGCAGGGAAGAGAAGCAAGGAATCCCAACAACCTTCCAAAGCAAGTAAACCTGAAACTGGGTTGCTGTGAGTTTTCTGGACTGTATGGCCATGTCCCAGAAGCATTCTCTCTTGACATTTCGCCCACATTTATGGCAGGCATCCTCAAAGATTGTGAGGTCTAGGCAAGTGAGGTTTATATATCTGTGGAATGTCTAGGGTGGGAGAAAGAACTCTTGTCTGCTAGAAGCAGTTGTGAATGTACCAACTGGCCATCTCAATTAGCATTGAATGGTCTTGCAGCTTCACAGCCTGGTTGCCTGCTGCCTGGGAGGAATCCTTTGTTGGGAGGTTTTAGCTGGCCCTGATTTATTCTTGTCTGGAATTCTCTTGCTTTTTGAGTCTTGCTCATTATTTACTGTTCAGATTTGAGAGTTTTTTTAATACTGGTAGCCAGATTTTGTTCATTTTCATGGTTTCTTCCTTTCTGTTGAAATTCTCCAAATGCTTGTGGATATCAGTGGCTTCTCTGCATAATCTAACATGGTGCTTGTTAGAGTGGTCCAGCATTTTTGTGCTCTCAAAATAATATGTTGTGTCCAGGTTGGTTCATCAGGTGCTCTACTATGGCTGACTTCTCTGCTTGAGTTAGTCTGCAGTGCCTTTCATGTTCCTTGATTCGCATTTGGGCTTTGCTGTGTTTGGTGGTCCCTATGTAAACTTCCTGTCCACAGTTATGTGGTATATACGGTAGACTCCTGCAGAGGTGAGAGGATCCCTTTTGTCCTTTGCTGAATGTAGTATTTGTTGGATTTTCTTAGTGGGTCTGTAGATAGTTTGTAGGTTTTGTTTCTTCATCTGCAATGCCTTTCGTGTAAATAAAGAGCACTAGTCAAAAAGCAGGGAAATTCCAGACAGGAAACAATCAGGGCCAGCTAATCATCTCCCAATAAAGGATTCCCCCAGGCAGGCAGCAGCCAGGTTTTGAAGCTGTGAGGCTAGTCAATGATAATTGAGCTGGCCAATTGCAACATTCACACCTGCCTCAAGCAGACAAGAGTTCTTTCTCCCATCTTGGACATTCAATAGATATATAAACCTTACTTGCCTAGTTTCCTGGGCAAGTGAGGATGCCTGCCATAGATGTGGGCAAAACATCAGGAGAGAATGCTTCTGGAACATGGCCATGCAGTTTGGAAAACTCACAGCAAGCCAGTAATTCCGACCATAAAAGCCTAGTTTCCAACAGATCCCTCAATCTTTGAGGATGCAGGCGAAACGTCAGGAGAGAATGCTTCTGGAACATGGCTATAGAGTCTGGAAAACTCACAGCAACCCAGTGGTTCTGACCATAAAAGCCTAGTTTCCAACATATCCCTCAACCTTTGAGGATGCAGGCGAAACATCAGGAGAGAATGCTTCTGGAACATGACCATATAGCCCAGAAAACTCACAGCAACCTTCGACAGCACATTAACCCTGAAACATTAGGGTTAATGTGATGCTGTTTGAGTAAAGCAAGACAGGGGGCTGGGAGAAGAGCTAGACTAGTATGGTTCCATCTGTTGGGGGGCAGGGGGGGGGGAGAAGACAAGGTGCAGTCCCCCCTTTCCTTCCAGCATTCTTAATCACTTCCCAAGATTGCAAGGTGAACATAAGAGAGCCCAGCGTGTGCACACATTCATTCTCTCTCTCCCAAGCGAGCAAACGCAGTGTTTGGAAAGCCTCAACTAGGCAAGCTCCAGGCGGGTTTGGCACAAACGCTGCTCCAGCCTCAGGGGCTGGGATGACCCGAAGGATGCCCCAGAAATCTTCTGCCTTGCCTTCTCCCTTGGCTCCCTTCCCAAAGAGGCGCACGCACTGAGGCGCACATCTCCATCCCCGCGAGAGATCCGCATTGCCTCTCTCTCGCTTTCACTCCGCCTCAACTTGCGGAAGGGTGCCCGGAAGGGAAGGGAAGAGGTAGGGGGGAGTCCTGAGTTCCAGAAACAATCCTCCTGGAAAGGAGAAGGAGGGAAAGAAGCTGGGAAGGAAGAAAGAGCCTCGCTTCAATCCCCAAATGGCATCTCCTACCTTGGAAGGATCCAGCCCGGCCAGGAGAGTCAGCAGCAAAAGGTTGAGGATGCGGGAGGAGGGCTGCATGCTGCCGGTCCCGGGGCTGCTGCTGCTGCTGCTTGACGGCGGAGCCTGCTCTCTTCTTCCTCCTCCTCCTCTTCCTCCTCCTCCTCCTTCTTCTCCTCCCTTGGACTCTCCTTCATCCAGTCACTGCAGGGACCCCTCGAGTGGCTTCCACTTTCTGCCGCCGCCACAATACTGGGAGCAGCAGCAGCAGCCGCCCGGGGGAGGCTCATTCATTCCGCAGGCACAGGCAGCCTCCGTGTAGCAAACGGGAGAAGAGGCAAGGAGGGAGGAGCAGGAGGAGGGTGCCGCTGTCCAATTCAAGCAGGCGGAGGAGCCTGGCCAGAGAGAGGGAAGGAGGGGAGGAAGGGTGCCGCCCTCAAAGCCCCTCTTTCTGTGTCACGGGCCCAGCCCACCCTCTGCTCCCCCTCCTCCCCACACACACCACCAGGGAAAAGTTTGCCCGCTGGGCGCCCGGGACACCAAGTCGAGCCGGCCCCCTGCAGAGAGGGAACCAGCCAGCGCGGATGTGACATCAAGGAATGGCTCCTGCAGAGAGCCAAGAGATTTGGCTGGGGGGGGGGGGGGGGGGGGAGGCAGGAAAGGGCGGAAGAGGGCAAGGAGGAAGGAGGGGATCTTGAGCAACCCGCTTACAATTCCCCTCATTCCCATGTTCTTGGGTTGGAACTCCCATCAGTTCTTGGGCTGCAACTCTCATCAGTTCCTGGGCTGTAATTCCCATCAGTTTTTGGACAGCAATCCTCACCAGTTCCTGGCTACAATCCATATCAGTCCTTGGACTGCAACTCTCATCACTTCCTAGGTTGCAACTCCCATCAGTTCTTGGGCTGCAATCCTCATCAGTTCCAGGACTCAATATCTTATCAGTCCATGGACTGCAGCTCTCAGCTCCTGGCAGGCCTGTAGCGAGGGGGTTAGGGGTTCAACCCCCCCCCCCAATTTTTCAGGTTAAAAAAAACCTGATTTACTCATGAATTTTAACTGGTTAACCAAATCCCCATGCTAAGTCTATGAGACGCAAAAAATTAAGAGTCCCTCCAGAACTGCAAACACTATCTCAAGCAAATATTGACAATTTATTCACACTGTCATTACTTGCAGCAATAGCCGATGTAGTGAAGCAACCAAGTTGGGGGTGTTGAATGCTCTCATTAAGGAGGCCAGACTTGGTGGAGGTGGTTGACAGGGGCGGAGCTGCAGGCTATTGAAGGCTGCTCTGCCCCCTGCTGTGCTCTTTGCTTCAGCGTGAGCTAAGAGGCAGGTTTCAACTCCCCCCCCCCAAATTTTCAACTCCCCCCCAAATTTTCAAAACTCCCCCTCCCCCGAAATTTTTTTCTGGCTACGGCCCTGGCTCCTGGACTGCGACTCTTATCAGTTCCTGGGCTGTAATTGCTCCTTACTGGAGCAAACTATAGGGAGCATACAACGCCCCTATTAAAACAGCTTCATTGGCTGCCGATAAATTGCCTGAGCCAAATTGAAGGTGCAGTTCATGACCTATAAAGCCCTAAACCAGTGGTTCTCACCCTGTGGGTTCCCAGGTGTTTTGGCCTACAACTCCCAGAAATCCCAGCCAGTTTACCAGCTGCTAGGGTTTCTGGGAGTTGAAGGCCAAAACATCTGGCGACCCACAAGTTGAGAACCACTGCCTTAAACGGTTCAGGCCCCGCTCTTCTCCACGATTGCATCTCCTTCTGTGAACCAGCATGAACTCTTAAGATCTTCTGGGGAGGCCCTCCTTACCACCACCGTCACAGCAGGCATGTAGCGGGGGGGGGGGGGCTTCAGCCCCCCCTCCAAAATTCTCAGGTTGGTCCGTGAGAAAGGCTTTAAACTGTTATTTTTATTCATATCATGATCCAATCACCATTCTCAATATTTCCCATATGCATGGGGGTATTGGGATAACGATACACTCAGACTCAGCCCCCCTCCTCCAGTCAAAATCCTGGCTATGGGCCTGCATCACAGGTATGGTTTGTGGGGACAAGAGAGAGGGCCTTCTCAGTGGTGCCCCCGCCTCTGGAATGCCCTCCCCAGGGAAATTAGATAGCCCCATCCCTCCCCTCCTTTCATAAGAGCTTAAAGACCTGGTGGTTTCAACAAGCTTTTGAGAATGGCTAGTTCTAGCTCAGCCCTAGACATTGTTGACTATGGCTTTATTCTTCCTACCAATTACCCAGGTCACTTCCTCTACTAGGTCCCGGAAATGAACAACCACAGACCCGTACCTATTATTGTTGTTGCCTGCTATAGCACTGCACTTAATTCCTGGGCCCCCTAAAATTTTTGAGCTTGCACTAATCTCGGCCCGGCCTTTTAAATTGCCTTGAACAGGTGGGATTACTTTCAATATAAATGTGTTATAGCGACAATTTTTATGCTTATATTGTTTTGTTAATCTTATGGTTATGTACATCAATATGTATTGATGATGTTACTTGGAAACTGCTCTGAGTCCCCTCTGGGAAATAGAGCGGTATATAAATATAGTTTTATTATTATTATTATTATTATTATTATTATTATTATTATTATTATTATTATTATATTTCCATCAGTTTTTAGGTTGCTATACTCATCAGTTCTTGGACTGCTTCTCTCATCAGTCCTTGCACTGAAACTCTCATCACTTCCTGGGCTGCAATTCCTGTCAATCCTTAGACCCCAACTCTCAGCTCCTGGACTGCAACTCTCATCAGTTCCTGGATTGCAATCCCCATCAGTACTTGAGCTGCAATCCTTATCTGTTCCTGGACTGCATATCACCTCAGTTCCTGGACTGCTTCTCCCATCAGTCCTTGGACTGAAACTCTAATCACTTCCTGGGCTACAATTCTTATCAATCCTTAGGCCCCAACTCTCAGCTCCTGGACTGCAACTCTCATCAGTTCCTGGATTGCAATCCCCATCAGTACTTGAGCTGCAGTCCTTATCAGTTCCTGGACTGCAATTCCCATCACTTCTGAGACTGCAATTCCTATTAGTTCTTAGGCCCCAATTCTCAGCTCCTGGACTGCAACTGTCATCAGTTCCTGGATTGCAACTCCCATCAGTTCTTGGGTTGCAATCCTTATCAGTTCCTGGATTGCATATTGCCTCAGTTCCTGGACTGCAATCCCCATCAGCTTGCACAGTCAATATTGGGGAGTGTTGGAAGTTGCAGTCCAGCAGGGTCTTTGAAGACTATATATTGCCCACCCTGGTTTAGCCATGGCTGGATCTACGCTGACAAATAATGCAGTTTTAGAATGCAGATTAACTGCATTGAACTGGATTATATGAGTTTGCTTATAATGAGTCAATGCAGTTAAACTGTATTTTGAAATTGTCTTATTTGGCAGTGTAGATCCAGCCTATGACTATATCTTGTCTGGTGTAAAATTTGCATTGCATAGACCAGGCATGGGCAACCTTTGGCCCTCCAGGTGTTTTGAGTTTCAACTCCTACAATTCCTAACAGCCTACCAGCTGTTAGTAATTGTGGGAGTTGCAACTCAAAACACCTGGAGGTCTAAAGTTTGCCCATGCCTGCATAGACTCATATTCCTGGAAGAGACCCCATGGCAATTCAGGCCAGGCCCATTCTCTCATGCAGGGATACACAATCAAAGTCTTCCCAACAGATCTGCTTAAAAACCTCCAGAGAAGGACACTCCATCTCACACATATAGGACTGTTGAACCGCTCTTACCACCAGGAGGTTCTTCCTAATATTCAGGCTGCAATCTGCTCAGAACTAATTCCCACTGAATGCAGTTACCCTGTGAGTTGGTATGGGGTTGCAGCCTTGTGCAGCTTTAGGTAGGATCTATTGCAACTGGGTTGTTGTAGATTTTTTCAGGCTATATGGCCATGATCTAGGGGGATTCTCTCCTGACGTTTCGCCTGCATCTATGGCAAACATCCTCAGAGGTAGTGTGGTCTGTTGGAACTAAGAAAAAGGGTTTATATATCTGTGGAATGACCAGGATGGGGCAAAGGACCTAGCTGGAGCTAGGTATGAATGTTTCAACTAGTCAGCCTGTACTACAAATTACATATGTTGTCCCGCCTCACCTTTGGGCTGCTCTATTTCACCCTTGACGAAGAAAAGAAATAATTATAGGAGGACCTAGGAACCTCTTTTCATGGTAAGTGGTGTGAAGTTGTCAGTGTTATAGCAGGGACAGTAAGGCTAGCAAAACCATAGCAAGACATACTTAAGAGAGGGGTGTGAGCTAAGGCTGGCTGTCTTGGATTTGTACATCTGTTCTTTCTTGTATGTTCTTTCTCTCTCCCTCTACACACACACACACACACACACATTGTTCAATCTAAATAATAATAATACTTTATGTATACCCTTCCTCATAGAATCATAAAGTTGGAAGAGACCTCATGGGCCATCCAGTCCAACCCCCTGCCAAGAAGCAGGAATATTGCAGTCAGGTCACCCCTGACAGATGGCCATCCAGCCTCTGTTTAAAAGCTTCCAAAGAAGGAGCCTCCACTACACTCCGGGGCAGAGAGTTCCACTGCTGAACGGCTCTCACAGTCAGGAAGTTCTTCCTCATGTTCAGATGGAATCTCCTTTCTTGTAGTGTGAAGCCATTGTTTCGCGTCCTAGTCTCCAGGGAAGCAGAAAACAAGCTTGCTCCCTCCTCCCTGTGGCTTCCTCTCACATATTTATACATGGCTATCATATCTCCTCTCAGCCTTCTTCAAGCTAAACATGGCCAGCTCTTTAAGCCACTCCTCATTGGGGTTGTTCTCCAGACCCTTGATAATCTCCCCAAGGGATAAGTCCTCGCCCATCAATACAGTAAACAGAATATAAACACACAAAAAAAAAACAACAGAAAATCAAACAATTAAATGCAAAACCAATATCAATAAGCAACACGGCAGCATAAAATCAAACATTAAAACACAGATAATCATACTGGGCAGGGCCAAATTCAAAGACAAAATTTTAAAACACTGGGAGATAGGACAAAATAAAAATCAAGAAGGGGATCTGAGGATGAGGTAGGATTTAATTGCATGAACCATAAAATAAAATTGCTTCTGAGGTCATTTTATGAAAATTTTGGTCAGGGAGTATCTTACATTCAATAAAGTTGTATAGCATTCCTATATATATTGTTTTGTGTAGTATTTTAATATAATACGATCAGGTTCTCATTTATGGGATTTGTCTTCCACTAGACTATATTTTTGTAAGTCAAAGAAAGTGAATCAAAGAGGCATGTGTGAGAGCACCTGAGGAAAATTCACAGGTGTGTTGTAGAGGTTTGCTTTGTGTGCATGAGTGACAATCACAAATCATCATGCAGGTTCAATTTTTCCTTTCAGAAGGACTTTTCTGTAGTTATTATGTGGGTTGAATGCAACTTCCTTAGGAGGGACCCCTCCACCCCCCCAAATACATAATCAGAAGGATTCCAGTTTTCTTCACATCTATTTTTATGTGAACAGATTATTTCTGTATGTATGCATGCATACAGGGGGATTCAGCCATGTGAGCCTCCACC